ATATATATAAACCCACCATGGTCTTCCCGCAAGACAGCAATCTGCTATTCAGCATCTCGGATGAGTAATAAGCACATCTCGCGTGCACAAACAGGTCTACGCCATAGTACAACATACGCCCCCCCTCCGCAGGCGCATCACCAGAGCGAGTGCACATCTCACACTCCAGTAAATGTGGGGACGTAAGCCCCACTGACTCGTTTACGAACCAGCTGTGGGGCCATAACGTGCTGCTGCAGCGAGTGTAGGTATATTGTAGGTAGCATTAGTAGGTATTATCAGTAGGTATAGTTAGGAAGTATCAATAGTAGGTACCCAGGGCGTGCAGGTGCATGTGCGGAATGTATGAGATATGGCAACAGGATGGGTTGGGTGGGAACAAACATTTTTAGGGTTCTAGGGTCATAGGATTTCTGGATTTACTCCAATCTAATCCCTAAACTCTAAATTGGTTTGCAAGCATGTGCGGATTAATGATGTGGTCTGTACCTACTTCGTTTGCTCATAGTGTACAATAACTATCATACATAAAACTTCTGTCTCCATATAAATATATTAGTAATTTATGTAATGCCAATGTATCATAACATAACATTTCTGTCTCCATATATATATCAGTAATTTATGTAATGCCAATGTATCATACATAACATTTCTGTCTCCTTATATATATATATTAGTAATTTATGTAATGCCAATGTATCATAACATAGCATTTCTGTCTCCATATATATATCAGTAATTTATGTAATGCCAATGTATCATACATAACATTTCTGTCTCCTTATATTTATACGAGTTATGCATGGGATCTCGTTGTACTTACCGGATCATCTGTTTCTGCGTTTTACGGCTATCTACTGCCGTTACCGTCGTATCATGCACCACCCGTACCAACGTGATACCATCAATCGGGCTCACTTTGTAGCCAGCGTCCAGCTGAAAGCGCGGGCGATTGTTTGTTATTGATAAATGAGGGATTGTATATAATAAACAAAAAGATTGTTTGTTATTGACAAGTGAGCGTTGATATTAGATTGGGAGTTTGTACATAATAAACATAAAGTATTGTTTGTATTTGTCTGGGCATCTGATTATGGACTGAGTCTGTGTATGTATGTGTAGAGTACAAGCAGCCGAATGAAGCAACTGCCCTTCGTTTGGTGTGACAATAAAAGATACAGTCACAGGTGGGGCAAAAAACCCAAAAGCCCTAAAAACCAGAAAATAATGCCTTTGATCTCTGCACTACACTCTATGTTGGCCAACTAAGACAGACAGGGTAACCAGCATTCGATATGGCGACAGGGATGAGGTTTAGGTTTATAGAGTTTTAGGGTTTATTAGGGTTGCCCCCTAGTACAGACGTACAAACACATGCCCATACATAGCACTGCGGTGCGTACAGGGTCGCTCGAGTGTGCGTGTAGACGTTTACCCACACACTCACTTGTGTGCACATACGTGTACGTGCATAAATATAGTATGGGACACAATAGTCTCCAATCAAATCTGAGATATGGTGTTTATAACACACACACACGTGAGAGATGGTGTTTATAGCACACACACACGTGAGAGATGGTGTTTATAGAACACACACAC